GAAGCTGCGGTGATGTGGTTTTATAGACAAATGATGAGAATACCCTGGACAGATTGAAACAAAAATAATAATGAATACGTCTTGAAAGAAACTTACTGACAAGGAAAACTGATTGCCCACATCATAAGGAGACTATCTACATTCTATTGTATGGAAGAAAACTGGAGTACGTCGTGACACTATGAAAGCTGGAGGGGAGGAGAGGCAGAAGGAGACGGAGAGAACAGAAGCTGGAGAGTTTGACATCATGACATAGAGAATGATCTGTGTCAAAGCTAAATGAAAGGACACGAGACAGAAGGTTGTGGATAGACATGACTACCAACGCCACACGGCATGAACTTTAAGATTTAGGTACTTTATTATTGTGTCTATTAACCATAATCTTGCTTTTCTATGCATTAATTTACATGCACATTTACCACAGACTGTCTCTAATTTTGTTGTAAGTTCTCGGAGTTCTGTTTCGGAGCCAGCCATGAGATAAGTGTCGTGTGAACAATGAATGAATGAGTATAGGCTTTATCTACATAGGCAGACAGCAAACTACTGGGATCTAGTCTGGTCTGGGATCAAAGCAGCATTTCACAGCTGAAATTTGAACAATGAAGATACAAACAACAGGCTGCACAATTACTTGTCTGGTATATTTCGGCTGTATCTAGCTGAGTGCTTACTACAGTAGTAAATAGAAAACAAAAAGTAAAGCAAATAAATTCAACCAATTTCAACCAAGATCAAATAAATAAGTAAAACGTTGATAAGACCAGTCGTTATATATGGCTCTGAAACTTGGAGCACAACTAAAAGAGCTGAAGCCTTATTACCGGTTTTCGAAAAGTCTTACGACGAATCTTTGGACCCATCAAAGATGCAAACAACGGGGATGGAGAGTGAGAAGCAACAACGAAATTCATAATCTGTTTAAATCACCATTGATAACTGACACCATGAGAGCTAATAGACTAAAACGGTTGCGGAATGTTAATAGAATGTTAAATGACAGAGAAGTGAAAACTGAAAACACAAAGGCAATAAATGGTCGTAGACCACGAGGCAGACAAGAAAACGATGCAGAAATAATGTCCAAACACCTGCAAACAAAGTATCACCAACTTGAATGAGAAGGCCAACCAGAAAGATGAATGGAGGTGGGTGATATCTATAGCAATGAATCTCAAGGGCTCGGAATTCTGAAGAAGAAGAAGAAGAAGAAGAAGAAGAAGAAGAAGAAGAAGAAGAAGAAGAAGAAGAAGAAGGGAGGAGGAGGAGGAGAAGAAGAAGAAGAAGAAGAAGAAGAAGAAGAAGAAGAAGAAGAAGAAGAAGAAGAAGAAGAAGAAGAAGAAGAAGAAGAGGAAGAAGAAGAAGAAGAAGAAAAAGAAGAAGAAAGCAAATAAATTATTCCTTTTCAATTCAAAAATCCACCATATTAAAATGTAACTGCTGTTGTGTTACTTAAATATGTTACTGTAGGATTCACCTAACAAGACACGTAAACATATATAAAAGGCAAAGCATTGTGCAATCTGTTGTTCAAATTAATGTTAGTTGAAGTGCTGGTCAGAAAGAAGGTTTAAAATGCGGTGTCCTCGTGCCGGAGACCCAATTTCGAATCCTCGCTAACATATTTTTGTTATTCAGGGGCAACAGTAAAATTCTAACCTGTGCAGTAGGAGACGTCAACACTAGCCACATGCCTCTAAATCCGCAGGCTTAAAGACGAAACCCCCCCCCCCCCCCCCCCCACACCACTCCTTTTTTACCCCACGTCCTAAACAACAAAAGTGGTAACTGCAGACAGCAATGGCAGTTTAGGTAAAATTAAAACGAAATATTCACTGCCATCTTGTGAGCCAGGTCTACACACACAAAGTTACTTGGACAAGGAGGCTTTAGTGACATAAATAATGTACTGGGGCGGTGTCCTGGTTACAGAAATAGTGTACTTGAGCGGTGTCATGGTTACAGAAATAGTGTACTTGAGCGGTGTCCTGGTTACAGAAATAGTGTACTGTAGCGGAGTCCTGGTTACAGAAATAGTGTACTTGAGCGGTGTCATGGTTACAGAAATAGTGTACTTGAGCGGTGTCTTGGTTACAGAAATAGTGTATTTGAGTGGAGTCCTGGTTAAAGAAATAGTGTACTTGAGCGGTGTCATGGTTACAGAAAAGTGTACTTGAGCGGTGTCATGGTTACATAAATAGTGTACTTTAGCGGTGTCCTGGTTACAGAAATAGTGTACTTGAGAGGTGTCATGGTTACAGAAATAGTGTACTTGAGCGGTGTCCTGGTTACAGAAATAGTGTACTGTAGCGGAGTCCTGGTTACAGAAATAGTGTACTTGAGCGGTGTCATGGTTACAGAAATAGTGTACTTGAGCGGTGTCCTGGTTACAGGAATAGTGTATTTGAGTGGAGTCCTGGTTACAGAAATAGTGTACTTGAGCGGTGTCATGGTTACAGAAAAGTGTACTTGAGCGGTGTCATGGTTACATAAATAGTGTACTTTAGCGGTGTCCTGGTTACAGAAATAGTGTACTTGAGCGGTGTCATGGTTACAGAAAATAATGTACTTGACGGTGTCATCATAGTTACCAAAAAAAAAAAAAAAAATTACGTACCCTGGTTACAGAAATAAAGTAGATGGATGCGTCTTAGTTAATGCTACACTGTAAATACATACATTTGTTACACGTAGTTACACTCACATGCAGGGGCACTGTTGGACAGGGATGTACCTTTTTCACAGTAGTTGCCGTGGAAACCTGCCGGGCATGCGCAGGTTGACGGAGAGATGCAAGTTCCGTTGTTCTGACAGGTTGGATTACATAATGCTGAAACAAATGAAGGCACTGAATTAGCGCCACATTGTTTACATTTAATAATAATTTGAAGAAACATAATTGACGATTTCCCACACGAAACTTGTAGCAAGTGTAATGAAGATCGCTTGAAAAAGATTGACTTTATTTTTCTTGTTCGCCAGCTGTAAACACTGCTGGAAAATTGTAGGTGTTCGTCCACTTCTGGACTTTAGTTTTGTTCCAGAACCTGAGTGTTGCGTGCTCATCCGTTTTACAGATCTGACTCACGTGTATGCAGACTGTTGGTTCCTCGCCTCCCAGGCAGATGCACTCCAACTTCAAAGAAAACTTCAAATCAGTGGACTCTTACGACATGATTTTGGGTAAGCAGTGGAACTATTCTTGTTTTCCCTACAATGAGGCCCCGAAGCCCACACATGGAACTCATGAAGTGACATGATTATTCGTATCCAGGACCGATTTAAACTTTATGAGGCCCTTAGCTATGTACAGCTCCTAGGTCCCTATCTTTTTTTTTCTTCAAATTACACTAGCTGTTTTCAGAAAACCGTAAAATGTATAAGTTAATAAAACATGGAAGTTGAGCCATATCAAGCTGATTATTTTTTTTCAATTTAAATTGGCTACAAGGAGTCTAAAAAAATACAAAGCTGAAATAATATTCCCAAATTATTATTTATAAAATTTGAACATTCCTGTGGCACTTTTTAAAGTATAATAATAAAAAAAAAAAATATTGTATTTGTGAAAAAGGAACAGGGATTTTTGTTTTGTTACTCCCTTGAGACTGTGAGGCCTTAAGCTGTAGTTTATGCCTAAATCCTACAATACTCGTATCAGAAGAGCTGTAATGAATAAAAAAGTAAGGAG